AGGAAGATTTCAAGAGGGAAAAGTGAAGCTCTGGAAAAGTATAAACTAATTTCACAAATGCATTAAACAACAAAACATTTACTGAGCTTCTAGGACAGGGGTCCTCAAACTATGGCCCGTGGGCCACATGCAAATACAAATATTGTATTTGTTCCCATTTTTTTTTTTACTTCAAAATAAGATATGTGCAGTGTGCATAGGAATTTGTTCATAGTTTTTTTTAAACTATAGTCCGGCCCTCCAATGGTCTGAGGGACAGTGAACTGGCCCCCTGTTTAAAAAGTTCGAGGACCCCTGTTCTAGGATATTCCAGAGACTGACTGAGAATAGAGTGATGAAGAGACATACACAAGCTCTCTCATGAAGCTTACATCCTGCTAAGGGAGATGGAAAATAAATAAATGAACTAGTAAATAGATAATGGGCCAGATATATAATAACATGTTAATAATCTTAACTGCCTATTAAAAGCTCTTTCAAGTTCTCTTAGAATTTTATTCCCATGGATAATTAATTCCAAATATTCAACTCCAGTCAGCAAAGCGCTGCAAATACATCGCAGGCACAATGGTGAGTGAGTGACACTCGCTTACCTTAAGCCGGCGGCTTATTTTCTTCAATGCGTACACTTCCTCTTCGGTACTGGGGACAAGTCTTATCACCTTATCACTGTAAGAAAAGGGGAAATGGTGATATTTACCTTTAAAAAATAAAGATTTAACCATCTCAATTTTTTCACTTAAAAAAACAAAACAAGCCCTAGCTGCTTTGGCTCAGTGAATAGGGTGTCGGCCTGTAGACTGAGGGGTCCCAGATTCGACTCTGGTCCAGGGCATGTGCCTTGATTGCTGGCGCATCCCCAATGGGGGTGTGCGGGAGGCGGCTAATTGATGTTTCTCTCTCATCCATGTTTCTGACTCTCTATCCCTCTCCCTTCCTCTCTGTAAAAAAATCAATAAAATATATTTAAAAAAACAAAAACAAACAAACAAAAACCAAAACTGCCTCCGCCTTTAAGAAGGAAAACAGCAAAACTTTGGGCTCGACAGCAGGTATTTTATCCAGTTCTTGTTACTCTCTGATTGCTTGGTCTTTTTCTGTCTTAAAACCATTTGTTTTTTCATCAGCTTTTGAAGATTCCAAACTCACACTTAAGCAGAGAAAGGTCAAAACACAGGTAGAGTCGCAATAAGGACAAGAACTCTCCTGAATACCTCAGAAGAGGCACCAAGAAAGAAAATTCTTAATGATAGAAAAACACACACAACACTTTTAAAATAAAACTTAATGCTGAAAAGGAATGTGACTTTCGATGAGAGGAGATATGGAATCCTGGTTTGGATTCAGTAAAGATAAGCGCATCTCTATGGGGCATCTTAACTCTCTGGTACAGAGCTTCCCAACTGGTCTGTGGGACCCTACTGGAGGGCCACCCAATTGTTTACATGAGTTCCATGTGACACTGATGACCGTAAAGTTGTTAAAGTGAAAACTATTTTATGTCAATTTTAACAGCCATTAAAATTATACCACAGTTGAAATTATATTTGGATACTCTCTAAGAGTCTTTCCATAACTTGACTAAGACTGGAGGGGTCATCTATTTGTGGTGGTGACTGTCCCTCAGGTGCGCCAGTCAGGTATTATCATTTTGTATATGTCATGATGAGGACATGTTGGGAAGCACAACTCTATTGTGTTAAAATCACAACTGTCAGAGTGTGTTTTGCACAGAGTAGACACATTAAATATTTATTAATGGATTTGGCACAAAGGCGATCATTGAGAATTCTTGGCTTCCAGAGGAAATGTAGGTAAAACTAAATACAGTACACAGGAAGGAATATTTTTCGTAACCCCTATGGCATTTTATAAGGACTGAAGATAAAGTAGAACATCATGAAGACCATATATTTAAAGCTCAAAACAAAAACTCGCATTCACCCACAACTTCCATCTCCAGCCTGACAGGTGTGCTGGAATCAGAATGGAATTTGCATGCTCTCCATGGTTTTGCTTATCAGCGGTTCTCAACCTGTGGGTCGCGACCCCTTTGGCGGTCGAATGACCCTTTCACAGCGGTTGCCTAAGACCATCCTGCATATCAGATATTTACATGATGATTCATAACAGTAGCAACATTACAGTGATGAAGTAGCAATGAAAATAATTTTATGGTTGGGTCACAGCATGAGGAACTGTATTTAAAGGGCCAGAAGGTTGAGAACCACTGGCTTAGATGAATAACAGTTTCCAAGGTGAGGTAAGATTAATGGGGTAGGGGGGGGGGCATTAGGGACCTTCCAGATTTGCTGGATGATGATTCTTTTTTAAAATAACATTTTAATTATAACTTATTTAGTTTATTCATTTGAGAGAGAGAGAGAGAGAAACATCGAATGGTTGCCTCCCATGCGAACTTCAATCAGGGAACGAATCTGCAACCTGGGTATGTGCCCTGACCAGAAATAGAGCCCACTACCCTTGGAGCACAGACAACGCTCCAACCCACCGGGGCTGAATGAAGGTTCTTTATGGTTGTGTGTTCATTTCTAATCATTTTAGCTTTGTTATTTCCAATGATCCAGTTATATACCTTTGTTAGGCCTATGAATTAAAAGGTCTTCTGCTTGCTCATGATAATTTATTATGGTTAGGCACTACCACCCTAATCTGGCTTTATAGCTTTTGTTTCCTCAAAGCCACAGAAAACAACCTTTTAGTATCTTTTTCTGAAAAGAATACAAGAAAGTAGAGGCTAAGAAAAATTCATCAAGTTCACTGTAATACAACTCCAAACCTGACCTTTAGAATTGAAATGTAATTACATCTTTTCTGGTACACAATGCGTTGACCTTTGCTTGCCCTGGCTTCATCAGATCCTGGCCTCTCCTACCTGACCCAATATGGTTCTTGGCCAAGAAAGACACCTTTGCTGGGTGATACGGTTATTTTTTAAAAATATATTTTATTTATTTCCCAGAGAGAGGAAGGGAGAGGGATAGAGAGTCAGAAACACCGATGAGAGAGAGAGACATAGATCAGCTGCCTCCTGCACACTCCCCACTGGGCATGTGCCCGCAACCAAGGTACATGCCCTTGACCAGAATTGAACCCAGGACCCTTGAGTCTGCAGGCCGGTGCTCCATCCACTGAGCCAAACCGGTCAGGGCGATATGGTTATTTTTGAAGGATGGATTATTTGACATCTTGCTGGAGACACCTCCATTGGGGCCTGTCAGCTCCCCAAGAATGCAAAGAAAGCAATCTGTAGCCATTTTACAACTGTGGGAAGATTAAGAAAAAACTTAACCCTGAAAGTGATTGCTGAAACCCAGCTTTATCATTCAACTAAAAAAAAAATCTCTTCATCTCAGCTTGTAGAAATTCTCAGGTGCAACTTGAGAAATGTGTTTATTACTGTTTGATTACTTATCAAAGAACAGAGAATAAGGAAAGCTATTTAGGAAAATCCATAAAATGTCTTACTTTTTTACAAGCCAATAAATTAGCGGGGTAGACTAACCAGTAACCAAAGACCAACAAAAGCTCTTTATTCAGCATGTAAAACCCAATGACCCCAACTGTCCCATTTGTCTCACCGAAGGGAAAGCTTACTCTCTCTAGATCTGATAGCTGGCCATTTTGAAAGCAGATAATTCAGTACTACAAATGGGTTTCAGGTAGTGAAATAGCGACTGGAACTTAGAAAAACCAGTTGCGAGTATCAAAGAAGGTGAACTGAGAGGCTTTCTAATTTATCAGTTTTCGCCCGCTAGATGGCAACATCAATTTTAAACCCTATAACTACCCTTTGGGATTAAGATGAGAAACCAAAGGTCGGAATGTGATTGAGGTTAGAAACCAGCTGCTCATTTGCATATGTGTTAGTAAACTAGATATTTCTAACTCAGCCTATATAAAGTTGTCGGGAGGAAAAACAGAACAGGTGTTTTTAATTACAGTTTAAGGCTGTAGTATAGAGGCAGTATAAGTAGCCTCCAGGTAATTATGTATATGTATTGATTCATTATATACTTAGATTTTGTCCCCTCGCCTTACAGGACAAATGAGATTGCATTGCTATAAGGCTAACATCAAGTTTTGTTTTATGTTAGATTATTGTTATGTACAGCAGCAACCACGCGGATGAGATAATCTTGAGTAAATGAAATCGATTTATAAAGTGTGCAATAAGAATGTGTGCATCCAGAGAAAAGAATTTGGCAGGAGAACACCATCTCTAACGTTTTACAGTCTGTCTGAGCCTCAGTGTCCTGGTCGGAGGGATGAGCCCCACTCGCCTTTTCATGTTACGCTGTTTGAGTTTGCTGGCTGCCATGTTTACTGGGACACCTATGGAAGAACAGCTGTTTTATGGGCAGCTAGAGAGTCCTCCTCAGACTCCTTTTGAAAGACATGGATGCGAAGTTCCAGGGTTTTGTTCTGGCTCCCGGCAAGACCTTTCACAATTGATCCCATGATCAAACTCTAAATTGCTCTAGTTTATGAACCCATGCTTGTAAAAATCAAAACATGACAGAGGATATGAAATAATAAAGTTCCCCTCCCAGTTCTCTTCCAACCTTGACCTTCCATCCTCCCCTCAGAGCCTTGTTAATAGTTCCTTGTGATTCCCTCTAGACCAGCGGTTCTCAACCTGTGGGTCGCGAACCCTTTGGGGGTCGAACGACCCTTTCACAGGGGTCGCCTAAGACCATCAGAAAAACACATCTATAATTACATGTTGTTTTTGTGATTTATCACTATGCTTTAATTATGTTCAATTTGTAACAATGAAATTGGGGGTCACCACAACCTGAGGAACTGTATTGAAGGGTCGCGGCATTAGGAAGGTTAAGAACAACTGCTCTAGACTTTTCCTTTGCATTGACACATGCACACACTCTTGGGACCACAGCTAATTTGACACCTGACTTAAAGGCAGTCAATGGACCATAAGGTGGGATGACAATTGAATCCTTCCCAGTTGGGTTCATTCCACTGGTTGATGACTGACAGCTGATCTAGTCAGAGGATCTCCTGCCTTCGGGACTTTGCACTTGAGACATAAAGAAAAAAAGCCAGCCAGTTTGCATTATCAGGAGCAGTGGCCATAAATGCAGGCAACAGCCAAGTTACTATAACGGCAAAATTCTCAAGCACGGAATGTAGGCATTGGACACATTGCCCTGGTTTGGAAACAGTCCCCAGTCTTTCTCATGTTTTTTTTTTTTTTAGCATCAACATCTATGATCTCACACATGCCTTTTCAAACTTAACAAATGCACTATTACTAAGAGCACTCAAACTTCAGGTACTTCAGTTTTTCATTCATATCTTTGAAGAACCAATTCATCTTCCCTGATCCATTTTTTTTCTTCACTTAGGGAAGAAATAGAGCAAGGCTGGATTCTAATATCAGTTCCACCACTTGCTGTGTGCCCTGCGCCAAATTGCTGAACCATTTAGAGCCAATGATTCATAATCCTTCAATGGGGGAAACCCCAATACATTGTTGCTTAAGGTTTTGCTGAAAATTATTCCATTCGGCCACATTTACTAGAATTAAGGTCACATTAAGTTCCAGGCATGGTGGCAGGGGGTAGGGGTATAGCAGTTCCTGCCTGTGGTGAGTTTACCATCATATTCCCAGTGATAGAGTCTGG